TCCAGCAACAAAAGCCCCACCACAATATACATTTTGGGACGACAAAAAGGACTACAACCTAGATCAGCAATGGTAGAAGTTCCACAAACATAAAACAGGAACTGAAAATGCAACCAAAGAAATTAATTTAGAAGAGCTTACTCTGTATCAATTGCCAACCCATGTTCAATATCATCACTTGTCTCCAACAGATGGGGGGCCCATCGAATTGCCTCCTTAGCCAAATTGTCAGCCGCTCTATTTCCTTCCCTTTGATTTCTCAATCACCAACCATCTTCTTCAAGCTCTCAGTGTATAAGATCCATTTTCTAAGTCTTCATGGGCCACTGAGATTGTGCATGAAACAGATTTAGATTTGTAGGCTCGACCTTGTCCATGGATACCTCTAATTGTGATAGTGTCTTTGAGAAATATAATAATTATTATAAAATTGATATTAAAAGCATCTCTCAGTAAATTAAACAACGACTCACAAGTTGAAACATATTTCAATTAATGTTTTAACAAAAACTGAAATTAATGTTTACATTTTAAGCCTCGAAATTAATGTACTAAATAACACAATGATTCACTTAAATAAATAATGATATATTTAAATTACGATAATAATCACCATTATATTGTAAATTTATTTTCTTTTCATGTCAATTAAAAGGTATGATTTCTAATTTAGCAATAATTTAATTTTAATATTTATACTACATTTTAATGAGGCTTAGGTATTTCTTAAATAATAAAATAGCAAGTGAAAATTAAAAGAAAACCATAATTATCAATGTTATAAATAGTGAATATATAATGATAATCCCAATTTGTTGTTACAAAGTAATTACGTACTCCATACATATTGACATTAATATCATTAATTCTATCTTGTGCTCAGGGTCTAAGGGCCTTCCAAGGTATTGGTGATTGCAATGGGATTGAATGTTGCAATTGAGCTTTTTGTTAGGAAGGGTGTAGAAGGAGAAAAATTATGCGTAAATTACGTGTCGTCATGTGGACTTAATGATGTCATAATTATGTAATTAATTATAAAATAATTAATTTATTAATTAAATTATTTTAAAGACATATAGTTGAACCAATTCACCTATTAATATATATTTATCTATTGAGATAATTTTGAAGATAATATTTAAATTGGACCAATATAAAAATTAACTATTGGTCACCCAATTTGTCTCTAAATAAATGTAGATAATTTAGAGATAACATTCATATTTTTGACCAATCAAAATTTAA